TCTATCCTCCTATCCAATCGTTTGACATTATGTCACATAAAAACAAATATTGTCAATTGTAAATAAACATGGAAGCCAGTCTTTGAATTCTTCACATACAAAACTTGAGGCTTCGTTTGCGTGCAATTTCTGCAAGAGGGCTTCCAAGGTGCTCTTAATGGCTTGAATAGGGGGCCTCCCTGATTATTTTCCTCACTTTCAAGTAAAAAATTGATTCATAGTTCCATCAAGGGTAATTCTTAGTTATGGCGTAGCTTAATTCTAGATTGTTTTTCACTTGAGCTTGCTGCAGTGCTAATGTACCTGGTCTTATGAGAAATATAATCTGTGATGAAAGGTTGTGACTGGTGTTATTCTTCTTGACAGAGTGTAGTTGACATACTTGATTACGTTTCTGTTTTTGGCATATTTAACTTCAATGAATCTCTCTTCTTTTTTGCAGCTGTCTTGGAACAATTGTGCTAACTTCGAATTATTTTCCACAGGGAACTGCTTGAGCCATTTATTTTTATTGGCTGAACAGTTGGATGATGTGTCTCTGCGATTACAGAATATACTTCATCCCATTTTCCTATTCAAGTTAGTAAATCTAAAAGCATTGAGAGATCAGAACTGAAGTTAGAAGCTGCCCTTTTCTTCACGAGGACTTTGTTGTCTCTTCTATGTTCAGGGATAAGTCTTTCGTTTGACTTACACTTGCCACTCTTTCTGCCCAGGACAAAATCAACTTTTTACTTTCTATACTATTGCTGTCAGACTTTTGTTTCTGTTGAATTATCTGAAAAGACGTTAATTAGTTATAAGTTTTATCTTCATATTTATGTCCCAGCTATTCATTAAAAGGCGAATCCCTCTTTTATTCTTGGCACTTTCAAAGAATAATATTCGACTAATTAGATCTAAAACCAAATTTAGTCTATTGCTTAGCCAGCCATTTCATCCTTAACTAAAAATCGTGTGATTAAGAACCATAGAAAGCATATGAAGCTTGAAGTGTAGAAAACCAAATTACCCGAAACGTTTATTATGATGCAAATAGAGAAAATCTAAAGCCCCTTCCACTTAATTGGCCTTAGGGCCATTCAAACAAACAGTTACTAGTGTATGCTCTCATATCCACATCGATAATTTGGGGATGACCTACCTAGATTTTTTTTGTCTACTCGCCTCATTGAACTTTATTACATGTCGGATTGGAAAGTTGCCCCTCCCATCGGCGTCAGTAGATACTAATTTAAGTTTATCACACTCTCTCACCCTCTGATTGTTTGAATCTATCAAGTATTTGCAAATCTTGTTAATTAAAGTATGGCGAAAAATCTAAGTTAACTACTCAGGATTAAAAACCTTGTGCCGTTGTGAGTTCATCAGATATATTCTCATTTATTATCAAATGTATTATTATACTGAACGATCAAGTTTAGGCTTTGGAGAGGCTCATTCATTTAATATTAAGAGAACCCATAGACAAACGTTTCGACAAATGATGACATTGTAAAATCTTACCTTAATTTGTGGATCAAGATCACTCTAGAATCCGATTGTCCGTTTTAAAGTGTCATCCCAACTTCTGTCGGGAAACGCCCTATCTATATGGACTCACCAGGGTGCATATAATACTCAGCATGCTCCTTGACATGATTTTTCCTTCTTTGTGTCGAAATACGGACCACAGAACCATGGACCACGGAATAACGAAACTAATAAAGAAATCAAAGAAAACACCTCGCAGAGGAGATTAGTTAAGCATATCAAATCATATCTCGGCGATGCGCCACGCCGTCACGCCGTTTTCTGTCAACGATACGCCAATAATTCTAAACAAGTCATTGATATTCGGGGTTTTCTGTCGCTGACACGCTAAAAACAGAATTTTTTTTTTCTACGCCAAGGCATTTTTCTTAGCCCACGCCGGACATATTCGGGCCTACCTACATGAAATGCACCCTGGGATTAATGTACAATTCCGAAAATGATGCAGGCACAATCTACGGTAACAATCCAGCTTCCTTTCAGTACAAAACCAAGAAAAGAGGTGGGAATTCGCCGTTCGCAGCGGGGGTCTAGCAGTAAGCGGCCGGTTTTTAGTGTAATTTCATCAAATTAAGCATAAAATCATTTGAAATTGTTCTTGTTAAGCGAGCAATACAGCAAATCCATTTTCCTTGAAGGATCATTGTTGTATAAGAATCATCAAAGTATGTTGATTCATAAAAAAATTAACGATTTCTGACCTAAACTCCACAGAATCATAAGGTTATTACGCAGTTCTATTCATTTGAGGTCCACGTGCAGCAACAAAGCACTCAAGAAGTTGAAAGATAGAAAACAGCAAAAGTTTGGTGCATTAGAAAGGAATCTTACTCCGACAATAAATAAACAAAATACAATTTACAGATAGCAATAATTCTTTATAGATTTAGTCTTTTTATCCAGTGTCAAGTTTTTTCTTGTTTTATTGTGCGACTTAACACCAGCATGAATGCCATAAATTTCGGTTCCAAGGTCTGAGAATCACATTTGCGTAATAATTATTGCTTGAAACGGTCTTTGATCTAGATGAAGAACAGTAACAATTATGAAAATGTTTTTCCTTTGTCAAAGCAAATAGGAAAATCGATATATAGTCGTAATGATTTGAAAAAATTTCAGAAATAAAGGTTCGCGGCGAGTCTAGCCACCCCTATTAGTGACCTGTTTTTAGTGTAATTTCATCAAATTAAGCATTAAATCATTTGAAATTGTTGTTGTTAAGAGAGCAATGCAGCAAATAAATTTTCCTTTAAGCACAAAACTACGAAGGTGGTAAAACATTAAGAGAAACACATTCACGTTGGATCTAGCGACCGTTTCTTAGTGACAGGTTTTTAGTGGAATTTTATCCAAATAAGCAAAAATCATTTGAAATTTTTTCTAGAATGTTTCATCTACAATTCCTAAAATGTTGTCAAAGCTAGAATTAATTTTAACTCAAGGGGTAGGCAAATCATATTTGTCTCGATGGGAAAATCACAGAAAAAAGTCAAATTTTAATCAAAAATACTCACTTGTTGTACCAAGACGTCAGCGAATCCCATCGTTCATCTGGAAAGAAGCAAAGAAGCTGATTAGGGAAAATTGCTGCAAAGGATTCTTGTCAAGCATGGAAAAGTTGGGGGCTGGCATTACATATTTAGCATTACAACGGATTTCCTATGAAAATCAAATTTTCTTGCATCAAGAATAAATAGCAGGAAAAATCTACCACAATTCTTCATACTTTGATAATAGAGCCAATCCAGTTGCCATTTAGCACAAAACTATGAGAAGAGGTAAAAATTGGCTGTTCGCTGTAGGGGTCTAGCAGCAAGCGACCGGTTTTTAAGGTCCGGTTTTTAGTGTAACTTCATCCAAATGAGCATAAAATCATGTCAAATAATAAATTTCGAAACACGTAAGAACAACAATGCTTACTTGTATTCGCATGCCATCAATTCTGATGCCAGTGAAGAAGGGGAACAGCCAGCAGCCATTGCAAAACCAAATATCAGGCAGCAGCGTGTGTACCGTACATAGCTACTAAAACGAAAAGAAGATCGTCAAAAGCACAAATTACATGACTCTTGCAAACGAAATAAGAAACGGGGTTCAATCGTCAATCAATAAAAAATCAGTTGATAAAAAAAGCTAAGGAGACTCACCTGAGATCAAGAGCACCCACTACTGACTGTAGCTGTAGCACAGAACAGAACTATCTTCGAGAAGCACGTTTTTTGGCCTTATGAACCCTCCTCCCTTTAAAAAGAATCTAATCACACATTCAGTGGGGGACTGGGATAAAACTTTGCTATTTTATTCATAACCCTGACGCACATTTCCAGAAAGAGCAAACATGCAATCTCAAGTTTTGGAAAGTTATGTAGGGAAATGTCAAATCCTGTGCCATCAGCCTTTTTTCTGTTATCATGGTTGAATTCTGGGATTTGACAGACGTGTTTTGCTGAGTTTATTCTACAGGGAGCTGTTTTTATATGAGAAAACTATTACCAAGAGTTTAATGTTGCAAGGGGGTTGTAGCTGGAAGAAGCAGAATGTTAATACCCACAGGGCTTCTAATTACAACTTTGACAAGTTGTCTTCTTCCACAATTTCATCATCGGTACTGTCATCATCTTTGTGCGCATTAGACGTTGGGGTTTCTTTGATGTTTGATGTTTTTGGTGTGGATCAAGCTGGCTTCTTATTTGCAAGTTGTGTGCATGGACGACCTTCTTGCGATCATGTTGCAACAATTGAATGAGTACTTGAAAATTAGCAGCTAATGGTGAAGCACAAAGCTATACAGATGCAACACTCTAGATGTTATGTTTGCAAGGCAGTTTTAGAGCACATGAATCATCCATTTAAGGGCTGATTTATACGTCGCGCTTATCTCGCACCAAATCTAATATAATTAGAACCGACGAAAGCGCGAGTTTGGCGCGACAAAGGAGTTTGATTTTGATTTAGACGATGAACTTTCGTCGTGCCAATAGCAAAATACACTTCTGCGAGTTGCCAGCCACAGGGAACCAATAAACTGAAAACACTCGAAGCAAAGACAAATCACGTATGGCGCCCTTCACGCATCTAAAGAAAGTGCTTCTTCTGAAGTCGCTTATTGGAGCCAGGAGAAGACGACAGAATATGCAAGCAATGATGATTAATTTGATGAACAGAAGACGGTGTAGGCTTTTGCGAATTCTTTTTTTGCTACAGTTGATTCTTACTGGTTTACAACAAGCAGTTGCAGTGCCTATTAGGCCTAGGATAAGATCATGCCGTAGGTTGCAGCGAAACACTGGTTGGTGGAACCTCGTTTGGACAGTATATTCCGAGAAAAGGTTTAAAAAGACATTTAGAATGACTAGGCAAACATTTTCCTTAATTCATGATAGAATCAAGGATGATTTAACGAAGGAGAGCGTCACAGAAGAACCAATTCCATCCCAGATGAGACTAGCAATTTGCTTGTATCGACTCAGTAGAGGAGACTACTACAATACCATTTCAGAGCTAGCTGGTGTCGTTGAAACAACTGTGTGCAACATAGTGAGAGAGGTAGCTAAGGCAATCATTGAAAATTTATGGGAAGAATTTGTTGAGGCCAAATTTCCACATAGCAAGGACACGCTGAATGAGAAAATGAAAGAAATGGAACAAGAATGGCAGTTTCCTTTTGCATATTCTGCAATTGATGGGTGTCACATACCAATTAAGTGCCCACCTGGTGGCCAAGAGTCATGTAAAGAATTTCATAATTTTAAGAATTTCTACTCAATCGTTCTAATGGGAATGGTAGATGCCAAATATCGATTTATATGGGCAAGTGCTGGTTGGCCTGGCAATTCACATGATGCCATAATCTTTCAAGCAACAAACCTTTATACCAAACTAGCTGAAGGTACAGCCTTTCCACCTATTGCCCATCATGAGAATGGCGTCAGTATTCCACCTTTAATCCTGGGAGATTCTGCCTTCCCCTTCAAGCCTTGGCTGCTGAAGCATTACACAAATGCCAGAGCAGAGCTATTTCAATTATAGGTTGAGTCGTGCACGCATGGTAACAGAGTGTGCATATGGACAACTGAAAGGTCGATGGAGAGTCTTGCTCAGGAAGTCTGAGAATGATAAGGAAACAGTACGTGCAGTTACACTAGCTTGTGTAGTACTACATAACATTTGCATCGAACAAGGAGATTTGGCTCAAAGGCAATGGGACCTCTCCAAAGATTCAGCATCAAATCAAAGACGTACACAAGAAGAAGTCCAAGACCTTCTTATGATAAGGCAATGCAGACCTCTAAGAGATACAAATCGTTCTGCAGCACAGGTTCGTGATTATTTGAAAGACAAGTTATTTTTAGAAAAGCAGCAAGTTTAGGGGATGCAAAGCTCCCATACTTTCAATACTCTCCCTCCCTTAATAGTATCCCCCCTAACTCCAAAATTTTACAAAATTGCCATCTATTTCCATTTATTAAAACCCCCCTAAAAAGGAAAAAAATGCTTTTTTCCATCCACCCCCATTTATTAGACAACATCCCAAAGGCTTTTGGCAGCTATTTTTGATATTTTGCAAGATTCAAGGGGCTATTAGAAGCACTGATTGGCTTCTACCCCATTTGAGAGCAGAACGCTGATAGGTTGTTTACATTTTTCCTCCTTGTTATATGAATTGGTATAGTATCTTTTAGTATCGAAATATCTTTTCAACAAAATGTAAAAAAGTTAATGTTACCCCCCAACTATTAACATCACACCCCTATTTAAGCGCTGCATGACAAAATCAACCCATTTCCATTTATTAACACCCTCCACAATTATTTATCCTGGGCAAATTTCCAACTGCCTCTTTTTAATAAGTCCCCCCTACTATTAGGGGATGGAGAGTAAACTGCATCAGCTTTGGAAAACTGACAAAGTTTCAATTATAATTCTTGACAATTGTGATTTCTGGAGCCACTTTGACACTATTTATACACTACTTATGTTCTTATGTTGTACATTGTAGTTTGTATTAAATAATGTTTCTTATGTAATTACTTGTAGATTGGATTTAGGATTAATTAATAGATGAATGGAAACTGAAACTGAAACTGAAATATGATGTGATTCTAAATGTTTATAGCTGAAATAAATCATCTGACTGGGATTGATGTTCAAAGTTTTGATTCCTTGGAGGATAATTATCTTGTGGAGTAAATGCTTGTCGAAATTGTTGTCTTGGATCCATATTGTATGACTGCTGCATGTTTTGGGGGAAATGTTGATAAGAAGGAGGCTGTGGAACTGGTGGTTGGAATTGCTGCTGT